ATATATATATATATATATATATATATATATATATATATATATATATATTTACAAAACCAGGAACAATGCTAAAATGTAAATAATGTTGTGCAGCATAAAATTGAACACAAATGATATATGAATACATACATCAACACTATCTCTTTACGTCAGCAGTATAAAAACATCCAGTTTGTTGCTTACGATTTGCTTTGTTTGTTGTTTAATACTCCAGAAACATGACTGTTTATTACAATAATATAGCTGTAACTTCAGAAACATTACTGTTTATTGCAATAATATAGCTGTAACTCAAGAAACATTACTGAAATTACTGTTCATCAGAGGCGTAGCGAGGGGGGAGGGGCAGATGTCCCCGGCCGCAAGCTAGTTAGGGGCGCCAAAAAGTGCTTTGAGATTATATTATTGGTAAAAATAATGGGTTTGAGAGTCGAAAAAAAGAAAAGGGGGCGCTTTAAAATGGATCTTGTCCCCGGGCGCGAATCTTGTCCCCGGGTGCCAAACACCCTCGCTACGCCCCTGCTGTTCATTGCAATAATATAGCTGTAACTCCCAGAAAATTTACTGAAATTACAGTTCATTGTAGTTTTTGTCTACTTTCAATATCAATTTGAATTCTTTGGCTACATAGAGTGCTCATCTACACTTTTCTGCATAGTCTTTCTTTGGCTAAATAGATTGCTCATCTACACTTTTCTGCATAGTCTTTCTTTGGCTAAATAGATTGCTCATCTACACATTTCTGCATAGTCTTTCTTTGGCTAAATAGATTGCTCATCTACACTTTTCTGCATAGTCTTTCTTTGGCTAAATAGATTGCTCATCTACACATTTCTGCACAGTCTTTATTTGGCTTAATAGATTGCTCATCTACACTTTTCTGCATAGTCTTTCTTTGGCTAAATAGATTGCTCATCTACACATTTCCGCACAGACTTTCTTTGGCTAAATAGATTGCTCATCTACACTTTCTGCATAGTCTTTCTTTGGCTAAATAGATTGCTCATCTACACCTTTCCGCACAGACTTTCTTTGGCTAAATAGAGTGCTCATCTACAATTTTCCGCACAGACTTTCTTTGGCTAAATAGAGTGCTCATCTACACTTTTCTGCATAGTCTTTCTTTTGCTAAATAGATTGCTCATCTACACCTTTCCGCACAGTCTTTCTTTGGCTAAATAGATTGCTCATCTACACTTTTCTGCATAGTCTTTCTTTGGCTAAATAGATTGCTCATCTACACCTTTCCGCACAGTCTTTCTTTGGCTAAATAGAGTGCTCATCTACACTTTTCTGCATAGTCTTTCTTTGGCTATTTAGAGTGCTCATCTACACTACAAAAGCATTTTTTAAATTTATTTTCTTTGCGTAATGCATTTTAAGAAATTTGTAAGTTATTTATTTTCTTCTGTTTAGTGCGTTTACACTCTTCTGTGAAAGAAATGTAAACTCTTCTGTGATAGAGGTTTAAACTCTTCTAATGATAGAAAATCTTTCTCTCTTTGTAGCTCTACTTCCTGTGCGTCTAGCCATGCGCCATTCGCTGTAGTTGCAGCTCATTATGTTCGTTGACTGAGGCCAGATCATCCGCAGATCTTCATCCACTAAGTGGACGATGTCTAAATCTCAAACAATCATTTTTTTTAATTTTTTTTTTGTGTGTTAAAGTTAAAGGCAGAACGAGCTACATCTATTCCTCAGTCTTTGGCAATGTCACTGTCTGAGACCAGACGTACCTTCCAAGAAGAAGATG